TCTCTCTCTCTCTCACACACACACACACACACACACACACACACACACACACACACACAAACACACACACACACACACACACACGCTGAGGACCATTGGATTTTCTGCAGCAGTTCATCACACTATTTAATTTCTCATTGTGGAAACACAAAGCCGGAGCGTTTATCAGGGCCGGACGCGGCAGATGAGCATTTATTTGTGTCATTGTTCGCTGAGCGAATCTGTCATTAACACAGTTTGGAGGGAAATTAGATGTTTTATTTTGGGATTGTGTTTTTTTTTTTTTTACATGGAGAAAACGGTTCAGTACAAATGTGTAATGCTGCTGTATATGCTGCACAAATCAGCTTCTTAATCTGTATTTTTCTCTCGTTTCCCATTAAAATTATTTGAACATCCTTAAAACAAGATGCATTTACTTGAGAAGACACATAGCATAAAAAAGACTTGTGTTATATATTGCATAATATATTGTAGTGTATTGTGTTTATATAAATAAAATAAAAATAAACAAACAAACAAATAAATAAATGTTAGAATTTATTCCAAAACTGAATTTGAGATATCTACTTTACACAATATTTTGCACAAGTATCTTGTTTTAAGGATGGTTAGACATGTTTTATTGGAAACCAAGATGGTTGGAAACCTGAAGTTCACCGTGATGAACTAATGAGAAGTGGTGTGCGTACCATCGATGGCGGAGAGCAGGACTCTGGAGTGATCGTAGGCGATGACGTTTGCGTATCTGTTCTTTGGTTTGTTGACCTCCAGGTTGGAGTGCTCCCACGTGAACTGCTGACCGGGATCGACCGACTGAGGAGAAATGAGGAATATGGATTAATGAGTGCATTAGCATCAGAGCTAAACACAGACACAGCTCATCTTACAGCCGTATGCTAACTGTTGGCTCGGACTCAACATACTCTGAGCGTCTCACGCCAATAATATCCATCTGAAATAGAAAGGCGCGTCCCGACCCGCGTGGCTATGATCAGCATTCACAGTCTGTATTAATAGAGCGGCGACTGTAACGCGTCATTGAACGAGAGCGCTCAGAAATAAACGCTGCTGCTGGGCGGAAACATGCTGCCTCAACAACTTCTGTCCTGGAATAGAGAAACGGCCAGTGGCATTCATGCTTTCACAAAATGAATCAATTAATGCACAAATACATATACAATCAATTTATGAGCAAACTAAATAATTAAATAAAAGTTATGACGAATATCTGACAAATTTAAAAAAATAATGCATGGATTAACAGATTTACGAATAAATATACAAATTAAATAAATGCATGAATGGAGTAACTTATGGACAAAATAATGCACAAATGCATGAATGAATGAAAAAAAATTATAAATTAATTGAACAAATGCATGAATGAACTAATGGAAATATTAAAGAAAGAAAGAAAGAAAGTGAATCGATTAATGAATAACGAAAAGATTAAATGGACTGAAAAAAAATAAAGGGATCATCAAGTGAATGAATGCATGAATGAATGAATGAAAGCAATTATAATATTTTTATGGTTGAATGAATTAATGAAAAAAATACAAATTAAATGAACAAGAAAGAAAGAAAAAGAAAGAAAGGATGAAATAAAGAGAAAGAAAGAAAGAAAGAGAATCAATTAATGAATAATGAAAAGATTAAATGGACTGACAAAAAATAAAGGGATCATCAAGTGAATGAATGAATGATTAGCTGACACAGTGCATCTCCACATGTGACGTGTGAGATCTTCCTGCCGTTGACGTTCTTCTTTTGATTTCTTCAGGAAGTCAGACGATTGAAGCTTTCAGCGCTGAGCTTCTTAAAAACAGGTGTGGGCCTGAAAGAGCGCGGGACGAGTCTGCCAGTGAAAGAGCTTTTGTGCTCAATATGACCTCAGCGTCAGTCTTATGTGCCGTTTGCAATTTTTTCCCATTTACTTTAATAATGAAATTATTCAGTCTCCGCAGTGTCTTTTGAAAATGAAAAGATGATACGCATCTGCCTGCGAGCCCAGCTCTCCAAGTTGACAAATTTCAAATTACAGTTTTCAGAGGAGCGTTGAATGAATGAAAATTGGTCCCGTAAGCGAAGAGGGGAAAGTAATGTCTTCATGCCTTGAATAGATTTTAAAGGATCACGCAGAGATGTGCTCCCTTTCAAACGGCGCTTTTGTCCACTGATGTGCCCTTTCAAACGACAGCAGACGACTGCAAACAAATCACAGCCCCACTTGGACAAATTACACTCAGAAATAGCAAAATGATAAACGCTGTGAGACTGTCAACAGCCGAAGCACATATTTCACATTCGACACGTTTGGCTGCGAGGAAAGACGAGGAGACGCTGCTGTTTTAGCTGTAAAGCACTGGCGCTTGTTTGCGTAACTCTACAATAAGCAAACGGGCCTCGATATGAAGAACCATAAATTGACAGTGGTGGTATTTTTCTGTCAGGGCGAGTCACCGCGCTGCGCCATAATGCGTCACTAAAGATGACAAATCTCCGGCTAAGCTGCATCATTCTGCCCAAATCTTTTGAAACATGGCTCGTGAACTCGCGCGCTTCATTGTGCTGCTGAAATGACTTTCTGTGCCCATGCAAAAGCGCCCCGGAATGACAATAACGTGTGCTTGAGCTCAGCTCTGGCAGGCCTTTTGGCCGAGCTCCACGTCTGACCTCATGCTCAGGAACCGCAGGCCGAGGGCCCAAAAACAATCTGTCACGTGAGCGCTGACATCACCAAACGGACTCGTGCTCTGGCCCTGCGATCTCACCCAAACATCCTACCTGACCTGTCCAGCGCCGGCGCAGTAAACGACAGTAAACGTTCTGGCATCCTCTATTTTTGTCATATTATTTGTCATACTATATTATGTCATATTAGTAATATTACAGCGACCAAAGACTTATGTTCAGCAGTTTTAACTAAACCATCATCAACAGAGCCATCTTGTTTATGTTTGCAAGGCTGCTTTGCAGAGAGCGTTCGTGAAGGGTTGCCATGTCCACTTATTATAAGCAACGTTTATTAAGCATCTTTGTTTTGCTCAGCACATAAAGCGATCCAGTTGATGGAGTTAATAAAATAGGTAGGAACAGGTCATGATAAAGCATTTGGATTTAAGTTTATTATGGGCTTGTTCTTGCTTTTATTCCAGCAAGATCTGGCAACATGTATGAGTTAATGAGTGATTTCTTGCCCTGCGCATACAGAGAGACACAACTCTGACACTCATTTAATTATGTAGCTGGAAGAACTAATCAAATATAAATAAGTGACACTGATCATGTGACTCAAGATACTCTCTGGATCATCTCAAACCATGCTGGAGAAGTTGATCACCAACTCAGACAAACTAAATACTCAGACACCTTCAAATTCATGTTCATTTTTACTTTTCACTGAAATTGTTATGCTGATAATATAACTTGTATATATATATATATATATACAGTGGGTACGGAAAGTATTCAGACCCCCTTAAATTTTTCACTCTTTGTTATATTGCAGCCATTTGCTAAAATCATTTAAGTTAATTTTTTTTCCTCATTAATGTATACACAGCACCCCATATTGACAGAAAAACACAGAATTGTTGACATCTTTGCAGATTTATTAAAAAAGAAAAACTGAAAAATGCTCAGTATTTAGTAGAAGCACCCATTTGATCTAATACAGCCATGAGTCTTTTTGGGAAAGACGCAACAAGTTTTTCACACCTGGATTTGGCGATCCTCTATATATATATATAAATGCAAAGCACAAGCATTTAAACCAGTAGTTCTCAACCAGGGGGCCTCCGCATACATCCAAGGGGGGCACAAAATGGCTTAAAATGAATTAAAATAAGGCAAAACAAGGCTTAAAATAAACTGAACAGCTGAAAATCAAAATGTAACCTAGCATCATGTTTCTTATTGTATTCCTTTAACAACTGCCATTTTAATTTAAAAATCAGAGTTATAAAATATCTTATTTGGTAGAAAGTGCAATTTGTAAGTAAAAGATAACTGTAATCAAACGTCTAGAAAACATTACGTAAATTAATTGTTAATCCAAAAAAAAGTGAATGTGTGTAAATGCTGTATAATTATTATTACTGTTATTATTATTATTTTAATATATTACCATTCCTAGTTTGAAAATGATCAGCTTTGCTATTACAGCAGAAGTAGCAGAAATATCTCAGGGCACTTTCAAATATTTGTCTTTGACAACCGGTCAGAGTCAGAAAAGTTGAGAACAAAACCAGATTTTTCATGCAGAAAGTAACATAATGGCTGAGCATTACCTCATACTCCTGCGAAAACTTCAAGTTGTCGTTTGCTTTCAGGCGTTCGATGTGATCGGCCAGCTCCATGACTGGGATGGGAGGGTGACTGGCCATCCCTGCAGACAGGAGACAAACAAAGAGTCCCAGGGTTAGCGCTAGCACACCAGAGCCTGCGCCGAGAGATGGGCATCACAGAGGATGAAGGATGTGAGGTTTGTTCGGCCTGTATGATTGAACGAAGCAGCCACATGCTCGGAGAGAATGGACACAGAAGCCGCACAGAGCATTCCTAATGAAGAGAGGAATGTTATTCGTCCGCAAGCGTTAACATGGCGGGAAACATGGTGGAAAGATGGAGTAGAGTAGAACGTTAGGGGCTGGATATTAAAGTTTGAGCCGGCGATGAGTCTAAAGGATGCGACATATCAAACCCCGCCTCCTGCGCTGGCGTGAGGCAAAGCGGCGTGAGGAGATGAACGCAGTCTAGAGAGGAAGTGAAGGAAATGAACAGACACAGTGGCATATGTAGAAACAAGAACGACTAACTTGACAAATGGAGGTTACTGGGGTAAACCGATGTGGCTGAACCTGCGAAGGAAAAGTGGACGGGGATAATCATACTAGCTGACGTTAAAACAAGCAAATGTGGTGATCGGTCTCTATCGGAACAAAAAAAAAGAGGCAGTAGAAACACAGTCTGAAATGACAGTCGACAGTCGCAAACGATGCTACACCTTCATCTCTAAGTTTATTTGTTAGTAAAAACAAATTCACTCATGCTAACGGCTAACGGACGACAAACATGCGGAGATGAGGATAACACGTTCGGAGAAAAAAAAGACACACGTCAAAACAAACGTAACAAGGACAGAGAAGATGGCATGCACGTTTATCATGCGCATGTTTGTTTGTTCTCTAAGGTGAGATTCGCAAAGAAGGCGCATGTCTGCGAGAGAGTTTGTGTTTGCACTGCAGAGGATGCTTTTGAATAGTCGAGCAGAAGCTGCTCTCTGATAACCGGTTTGCATAACAACAGCCTGCGTGCCGCAGAAAAAGAGGCCGTACGCTTGAACGCGGTGCTGCGGCTCTTTCATCTCTGGGCTGATAGAAGAGGGCATTAGCTAATGGAGGCAGCAGGAGAGAGCTGCCATCCACGGCCTCTCAAGACCCATTACCAGCCGCGGTGACAATGAAACTGCCATTCGGAGAAACGCATCGGAGCGACATCAAGCACCCTCAAGATGAAAATTGAGATGGGGAGGAGGGGGGAGTGACCGCACGACGGCATCAAGGGTTTGGAGAGAGGAGGGCTAATGCAGAGGCCGTTCTCACTGAAGAGAGGGATCTTCAGCTGTCGAGAGCTGCGTTCGGGCTGCCTGAAGGGAAAATGGAGGATGCAAAGCTTCTCTAAGAGGCTGTTTGCGAAAGAGGGGCACGAGTGCGCTAATAAAGAGCCGCTGAGAGGATTAAGTGCATGGAACATCGCTCTTGAAACCGTGTTGCAATGCAAATCTGACACGTGAATACGAACCCTGGCCTATTCGCGTCGTAGATGAATATCAAAACGAATGTCACTGCTGTGTAAGGATGGGGATCACATTCAATGGCAACATTGGGCACTTGATGAATGGTTCAAGAAGAAAACCAACTTGAGGTGGTTTGACCGGGCTTGCTTTAGCTAGTCTCCCAGACTGACCTGTTGACGAGTGCCCAAAACCACTACATGGAAACCAGGCTAGTGGCCTGCTAAGACTAGCTAACCAACCTTAGGATGGTTTAAGCTGTTTTTCTTCGGTTAGGTAAACAGGTCTTCATTAAGACCAACAGTTGTGTTGACCTCAGGACACTTCCCAAATTCTGTGGACACGCTTGCCTGCTTTCAAACACAATGGGAAGCCTAAATGTGTGTCCTGATCCCCCAACAAAATATGCAATAAGCAATAGAGTTTTCAAAGGTTTAGTTTAGCAACAAATGCCACTCCTCAGAATAAACTTCTATGAATTGTGTTGTGTGGTAAGTGAGTTTTTGGGTTTGGCTGGTTGGTCCCCCAGCATGACCGGTGCCCAAAACCTCTTTAAAGCCATCAAAACAGTGGAAACCAAGGGCCAGTAGCATAAACACAGCCACTATGTTAAGAACTAGTCTGAACAACTAATAGGAGTAATCAGTTTTACTTTTAGGATGCAAACTTTTAAGAGTAGGCCACCATCCACAGCTTGGAAGCAAATGCTGCACTGAGCCATTTTTATCAGAAAGGTGAAGAGTTTCCCTCCAGTCCATCTGTCTTGCTCTTGCAGTCCAGACAGATGGACTCTGGTTCAATGTGTTTAGAGCTGGTCTCGCTGGCACCCAGGTTCTCCTCTGAGAAACTAATGGAGCAACTGTTGTCACCGTTGTTTTGCCCCTCAGAAAATAAATCTATAGGTCTTCACGGCTGGCCGCTCTAGAACCGAGCGCACTTCACCTTGTTCACCAAGGTCAGGAGGGAGCAGCCGTTCACCGCTCGACAATTCCCACATTCCTCTGCGACTCGTTCACACTCCGCTGCTTTCAAACACAATGGCCCTCCTATGTGTGTGTGTGTGTGTGTTGATTCACCAACTGAATATACAATCACCAGCAGAGGTTTTGAGAGCCACTGGCTTGAATATATCTCCATAGTCTTCTTCAGCTGGCTTTGGTTGGCCACAGTCCTCGCTCTTCGGGTAAACTCACTGAGCTGTTATGAATGTACTGCGAGGAGTTCTCGGGTCAGCTGTGAAGCTGCAGGCCAAGAGTCCGGAGGGATTTTCTGCTCTTCTGTCATTCTGAAGCCACCTGTCCTGTGCGTTTGTGAGTATTCAGGCTGATTCCTCAAGAGGTGCGTCTCTGTATCTTTGGCTCCATATGGTTTACAGACCCTCCCATTAAACCTTTACTATGCTGAGCAAAACAAGAGCACCACGTTGACTTTCTACACACAGGTCTGTTTATGTCCACGGACTCATTTAAGACTGTGTTTCTTCATGAGGCGCCTACAAGCTGGCCAATGCATCACCAACATGTTCCCAAATCTAGTGAGATTCCTTGCTGTCTACTCAGGCAGCATCTGTAACTGATCCTCGATTCACTGATTTGACGTATTCCACATAGGCAGCACCTCTCAATTCATTTCAACTGATCCACAATTTGACAGACCTTGTAATCAACGTTTGTCTTGCTTATGGATGACATATTCACTGAGCTTGTCACAATGCATTCTGGGATTGCCTCTTTGAAGGTTAAATGCAATGATGCCATACAATTTGGCCAAAATTGTAAGCAACACAATCTTGCTGCATGGATTTTGAGGAGCCTTCAAGTCTAGAGTGCACCTATAAATGCCGTCTACGTAGGCAGCTCACTAGGCTTTGGAACAGAGGTAGTGTGTTCTAGACCAGTGTTTCCCCATCCAGAGCCCAGAGTTCCCCCAATAATGCACATTCTGTACATCTCGCTAATCAAACACATCGGATTCAACTCTTCAGCTTGTTAGCAGAGACCCTTAAAGCTGAACTGGGCGCGTCAAATAAAGGAGACATCCAAAATATGCACTGTTGAGGGTACACGGTTTGGGAAACACTGTTCGAGACTTCCTCATGATTCAACCATTTCTAAGCCTAGAATCTTCACTTCACTGAAAACGAGTCGGAATCAAAATCTTTAGTTTCAGACTCAAGGAGTTGGTTGATGGTTTGTGTTTGACGGTGAAGATGAGGAGGATGGCGGTCAGCAGCTCTTACCGGGAGTCTGGAAGTTCAGACGGCGTAACTCCACAGGGTCGGTGGCGTGATGGGAGGGCATTTCTTTACCGCTGGGCAGACTGCCTTTCCTGGCCTCTGACTCTGCCCTTTTCCTGAAAGAAATACATCACATACTTCAGGACAAAACTGTGTTTGGACTATCAGAGCAGCACTGCAAGAGGTCAAGCAAACATGCTCGTGATGGGCATTCAAATGTGACACGTTCTGTGAGCCGTGACCAGTGCGTGTGTCTCAGGTACAGCTCTTCTGCATGCTCTCACCTGTCTGGTTGACTGCTCCAGTGGAAGCGGCAGGAGGGGAGAACAGAGAGTTAGTACGCAAGACAAACACAGATGTCCTCATCACAACTGCTGATATTCAGAGTGGCTTTGCATTTGTTAGTTTTCATCTGATCCGTTCTATTAAAACACATCCACCGTGCCTGATTCTAACTAGATTTGGTGTGAAATAACATACTCAAGGCTTTATCCCAGTCTTATTTCTCATGTAATTTTATATTTTTTGAACACACATTATATATATATATATATATATATATATCCTAGAAGTAAGATTTTTAAAATGTTTTTGAAACAAGTCTCTTCTCCTCACCAGGACTGCATGTATTTAATCGGAAACACGGTAAAACAGTAATATTGTGAAATATTATTACAATTTAAATGATTTTTTTGTGCATATATGTTGAAATGTAATTCATTTCTGTGATCAAAGCTGTATTTTCAGCATCATTACTCCAGTCTTCAGTGTCACATGATCCTTCAGAAATCATTCATCCTCAGAAATCAAATGACAATCTGTTTTAATCACCGATATTTACAGGTTTTTCATTGTGCATGTACTGTGCACGTGTCTTGACAGCAGGAATTGCTCTCTTGTTTCTGTCTGTGAGACTGTTTGTTTGTACTGAATTGGTGCATCACAGGCAGCGAGTGCGTTGTGTTGTTGACATTGTGATATTACACTATGAGCTGTGTGCATGAGCCCGTGACATTGATTCTGTGATTAATAAATAAATCTGCCATCAGAAGACATCAAATAACCCTGGATATATGAAGGACCTCATCACGATAGATGTTCAGCTCAATGCCTGTAATTTACAGCAGATGATCAGATCAGTCTATATTCAAATGAGCACCACAGATTATCGCACAGATACTTACAATACATAACTGCAAACACACACACACACACACACACACACACACTCACACACACACACACACACACACACACACACACACACACACACACACACACACACACACGCTCACACACACACACACAGGCTTAAAGTCAACATGAAATCCAAATTGACTCCATTTACTTTCTTAACACGTTTCTGCTCACTCATGAACATTATTCCAGTGAGCTTGCTTTTACAATCTTTCACCCTAATAACTCAGAAATGAAGTCACTTGGATAATGATAAAGCCAATAAAATCCCACCATACTCTTAATTTTTTTGCTTGAATCTGTGTTATTGTAGTTAATTAAAACTGAAACTAAAACTGAAATCATTAAAACATTTTTGTTACTTGAAATAAAGATAAATAAATAAATAAATATAATAATAATAATAATAATATAAAATAAAGTTCAGCAAGTTTCTCACATTCCTCATTTTAATTGTTTAACCTAATGTACTAAAATAACTACAGCTGAACTAAAAATGAAAAAAAAACTAAACAAAATGACTAAAACTTTAAAATTAAAATAAAAACAGAAAATAATATATATATATACACTGAACAAAATTATAAATGCAACATTTTTGTTTTTGCCCCCATTTTTCATGAGCTGAACTCAAAGATCTAAGACTTTTTCTATGTACACAAAAGGCCTATTTCTCTCAAATATTGTTCACAAATCTGTCTAAATCTGTGTTAGTGAGCACTTCTCCTTTGCCAAGATAATCCATCCACCTCACAGGTGTGGCATATCAAGATGATGATTAGACAGCATGATTATTGCACAGGTGCGCCTTAGGCTGGCCACAATAAAAGGCCACTCGAAAATGTGCAGTTTTACTGTATTGGGAGGTCCGGGGGCGG